GGGTCCACGCAGCACAGGGGGTGTTCTGGGCCCAGGCGCACACTGAATCTGGGTCATTCCCAACTGATCAGAGCAAGAGCAAGAGCGCCTCGCAGTTACAAGCAGCAGATAACATGTTGTGTTTTCAGAGCCCGTTTCCAAATCCCGCAGATTGAAACCAAAAAGAAAGCCCCAAAGCCCCGCCTGGGGAGGAGCAGCGGCCATGCAGCTCCTCAGCTGGTGTTTTCATGGCCCCACCACTGAAACAGAGGGATGACAAGCTGTTCCAGCAAAACAGCATCAGGTTCTGCAGCTCCCTTCTGACATGAGGCAGGCAGAAGACTAAATAATTATCTCAGTGCCAGGCTCTTCTGGCCCAGATCTTTAATCATCATTTGAAGCTTGAAATAAGGCTCCGAGTGTTTCCTTCCAGCACAGGTTGCAGCCAGAGCTGCGGCTCCCAGCGCTGCCAGCTTTGATTTGGGAGAATTACAAGTGAGGCTGTTTGTGGCTTTCCCATTACGCCCATTCTGCTTCCCATCAATGTTGAGTTTCTCTCTACAAGTAGGAGCAGAAGGTTGGTTGGTTGGTGCCAGTCCTCAAAGCTGTGCTCAGGTTTGAAGGCATAAACGGATGGCTTTAAAGTAATTTGGGGGGATAGGAAAAAAGCTTCATTTGCAATCAGAACGGACCCATCCGGGGCCATGTGGAGAGGTGCTGCACCTCACTGGGGATAGGAAAGGCAGGACAAGATGCTTAATTACAGCCAGACTACAAAGAGAGGCATAACCTTTATCACGCACAGGCTCCACACAGCCCAGAGACCTCCCTGTCCACGGCTTTCCAACAACATGAAAAGCCCCCCCAAGAGCTCCTTTCCTCCATCTCTCTTCATCATTTGTTTTCCCATTCGTTCCCCACCAGCAGGACACCGCGTTATTTCCTAAGCCATCAAGAGTGACTTTCAGCTCTCCTGGAGAGAGCTGCTCAGTGCCTCTCCCTGCGCTGCTGCTGACAGCTCTTGCATAAGCAGCTCCTGATGGGTTCTAATTAGTGTCTCGCACAGACAATTCACTTTGCCTTTGTTTAGGATAATTAGCGAACAGAAGGACACCTGCCAAACGCAAGCAGGATTCCAGCCCTGAAGGTGCTGCATGTTCCCAGTTTGGCTCTTACGGCAGGGGAGTTGCTGTGGGTGCTGCTGGTGCTCCCAGGGCTCTGTGCTCCGCTGGGAGAGGCACAGCGCTGCCACCAAGGCTTTGGGAACGCAGCAGCCCAGAGGAGGCCACGGAGGTGCTGTGAGGGCTGGAGCAGCTCTGCTCTGCGGTTGGAACTGGATGAGTTTGAAGGTCCCTTCCAATCCAAACTGTTCTGTTTCTGTAACGGTGCCTCAGAAGGGGCTGTGCAGCACGTAGAGCTCCTCTGCACTTAACAATTACACATCTACCCTTAAACATCAACACTCAAACCACTGCCACCAGCAAAACTCCATTGCCATGGATGGAGCGTGTCTCCAGTACACAGAGGGAGAACTGAGTTTTGAGTCTCCACCAACCCCAATCCAATCCTGAACACAGGCCAGCAGCTCAGCACCGGCCAGGTGCCCACTGCTCCAGCCCTTTCCTTGCAACACAGCACCAGACAGGGAAAACCATGCTCCAACAGCACTTCACAAAGTGCCTCTGCCCGTCTCTGTGCACACAGGAATAAGGAAATGTGCTTTTGCTCCTGTGTAGATCACAAGTATCAGCTGCCCTGTAAAAGCAAGAGGCTGCTGTGAACGTGGAATGAACCATGGTTATACAACATGATGTGGGAACTACTTGGCTTTGTTAAACAAGGGAATGACCTGAAGTTAAGGGGGAAAACACCAGTGAGGAAAGCTCGTGGCACCTCACAGCAGCTCTTCATTCCCTTTCGCAGGGGCAGACACTGCCCACAGGAGCTAAACCACAGCCGGAGCCTGGGACAGTGCAGGCGGCAGCAGATGGTGGGTTCAGGATATGCAGGTTTTGGCTTCCTACGGGAGCAGAAGAGGTGAGGAGCAGCCTGAACGTCCATTCCGCAGGGCTGGAAATGCCAGACTGGGAGCCAGCTTCAGGAAGTGTTTATTGAACAAACCCATATGGCTGCATCCTGCCCTTCGCACAGTCAGGACTGCATCCACCTGCACTGCCAGACACTTCGGGATGGGGACAGGGCCTGGAGGCTGCTCCAGGAAAGGCACAACTACACAAGGGATTAAATTGCTTGGTTCCACAGTAATGACACTTAAAACCTTTTGGGTTTGCTGAAGCACAAGGGACCAGGTAACTGCAGTATTTCTTACACGGGCAGCAGGGCTTTGTAAGTACCAGCTCAGTTTGTGTTTCTAAGGAGCACCGCTGGCACTGGCCATTAGAACCCCGTGGGGAGATGACAGAGGCACCCAGGAAGACAGGCTGGACTCCCAGAGGTGGGAATAGCTGGATATCCACCTGCTTTCCCAAGGGAGCCTTTCTGCACTGCTTTGTTAACACAGAACCCTCCAGCAGAGCTGGGGAACACCAAGTCCACGCTGTGACTGTTCCTCTGCCACCAGCTCCGAGGCACGTCCGAGTCCTGCGGGATGATGAACTCCTGCATTTTCCCAGGAAAGCCTTCCCTGGTTCTGATCATTCCCGTGGCTGATGCCCCTCCTGTCCTCACAGAAACACTGGATTAGGACATGCTATGGTAAAATCAATGTGAGCTTTTCATTTCCTGGAGACTGATGCTCTTCAACCACAACTAAATGACTTTCCTGGACACTGTAATTACAGAAAGCCCAAACCTGATGGTGAACCCCATGTTTATGCTTCCAGTCTCCAGCTCTCACACAACCTCAGTTCAGTGGTTCCCATGACTCTGCACCCCAGGCTGGCAAGAGGAGGAGGTTGATGTGCAGGGATTGAGGTCTTCCACCCCAAATTCACCTCACCTGAGGGATGCCTGTGGCATTAGCAGGGGCAGTGAGGGGAGCAGCCAAGCTACACCAGCATCCCCACACCTTCAGGGGCTCCTGGACCTGGTGGACAAACCATCAGGAGAGGCAGAATCCAGCGCCTGAGCCCATTCCCAAGGGAATCATGGAGGCTGCCCCCCATCAGGTTCACATGCCAGCAGGAGGGAAGTTCTGTTTCCAGATGAGTTCCAAGCTCAGCATTCACCTGGGTGCCGATCACAGCTTTGCTCCTGGGACTCTCTGGGAACCTTCTGGTTTGTCCCTGCAGCCTCCAAACACATTTTCAAGTGCCAACAAGCTCTGGTCACTCACACAAAAAGGTTTTAATCCCCCCTCCACACACAACAGCTCTGAACCAAGTACATCGGATTTGTGCCACATTCAGTGGGGTCTTTGCTAAAGCTCATCTTAACTCCAAAATGCAGACACACACTTACTGTGGTCCCTTCTGCTCCATAGGATTTCTTATCACAAAACTCCATGTTTCCACACCTCTCCTACCATGTACTCTCATTGCTGGGGTTTGCCCTTTTGGGTTTAAGTGCCTGTAGAAGTTTTACATGAATTTACCTTTGAATACACAATATATTCATCTTTCTTAGTCCCTCAAAATAGTTCTTCGGAATGTCTACAAAAATATTTACTATCAAGTAGAAAAAGATATATTTGGCTTTCCAACAGCTGTGGTTTCTTTACCTGCTCATCCCAGAAAATACAGCTCAGATGCAAGATGTGGTTTTCCTCCCACCTGAAGCTTTCCAGCTGAGCAGCACAGGGCTTGTGAAGGCAAAGTGACATCTCTGAGCCCAAGCAGACAGACTAGTTCACCACAGATCAAAAACACAGGATCAAACCACTGCCTTCGCTACTGCAGGCTCTTAGGAAAGGGGGTTGGAAGTGATGTTAGTTTGCCAGCAGTACCATTTGCACTGGAATCTCACATTCAACAAGAACATGGACATTTTACTTCCAAGTACATGGTTTTCCCCAGATAACACCCCACAATTAAGGCAGCCACAGGAGTTTTGATTCTTTTATCTGACCTCATGATGCTCTTTGATGTTACTGATGAGTATTTTCAATTCCCTTTAAAAGAGACCCTGTAACAGCAGCCCTGAGTTTGCTGTGCTTGGTCAGGGCTTCCCTTCCAGCTGCTGAAACACAGCATTCCCCCTGCTTTTTCAGGGGGATCATTCGTGTATTCACAAGCTCTATTTAACTCAGGTGTCAGCTCAGCAATAAATAAATCGGGATTTGGGAGGAAAAAAGCCTAACAAATGTATTTGGTGTTTGTATAGTCCATCCATTTCCCACCAGCTCAAGTGTATCGTAACCTGGAGTCTGCACTGCATCCAGGTCAACTCACCCTGTGCACTCAGCGTCACACATCATTCCCAGGGAAATGACTCATTCCAGTTTTCCCACCCCAAAAAATCACCTCACATGTACATATTTCAACCTCCGTGTTAGCTCACTCCTTCCTGTCTCACCCTCCAGGTCCCAAAGCAAACCCTAAACCAAGAACAAGCTCTTTCAGGGCAGTTTGCTGCGATGTTTGAGGAGAGAAGAAATGTGTGTGTGGGTCTGTGCTGCCAACACTCTGCTGTGGAAAACAGTCCACTGGGATCACATCCAGTCCTTTCACCTGAATGTCCATGGCACCGAGTCCAATTCCAAGGGCAGTTCTTCACTGGAGTGCTCACATACACCGGACAGGCATCGACACAGAGATTTGTCACCAAAGGCTAGTTTGAACACAGATCTTAAAAGCAAGGGCCCCACTTGAAAAATAGGTGAAGAAATGGAATTTCTTCCTACTAAAACCCTGGCACTCAAATATAGAACCAGTTACCTGGCTTCAAATCAGGAGAGCTCCTGCAACAAGTCAAGAGAGGGGAAAACCAGGAACGTATTAACACCTAAAATACCATTAAGTGCATCAGATCATGGTGTGGTGACTTCAGAGGTCTTCTCCGTGCTCTCCTGCACCTTGGCTGCAGTCATCTGGAACTGTGGCATGTAGGGCACGATGGCTTTGTACTGAAGGCTGCTTTGGATAAAGGCATTGAAATGAGATGGTGTGTGCTGCAGAACCCCCCCCTCCTGGAGCAGATCCATTGCATGGAACTGACACATCACCCTGGAGCTGTCTGTTAAGAAAATGTCATTGTCCCTTTTCCCCAGTGATGTTACTCCAACGTAACACAAGGTCTGCTCGGGGCTGTCTCCATCTGGGAAAGCATCATCATGATCTGAAGGCTCCGAAAATCCCTCTGAAGAGATGAGGGACAAGGAGAGAGTCTTGGGCTGCCTGATGGGCACCTCAGGTAGTACCAGAAATGCCCCGTTTCCCACCACCCAGGAGCTGCTTGAGAAGGAGCCTGTAGCTGAGGAGTCTTCAGCTAAGCAGCATCTATCAAAGCAACTTCTTGGCCTCACTTTGTGTTCACAAAGGCCACTTGATCTGGAGTTAGTAAGGACAGTAGCATATTTAATATCAGACTCCCCTGTCACTTCTGCACTGCTTTGGCCATCGTGGGAGCTCTCAGAGAAGCTGCTACTATGGAAATGGCTGCTGGAGCAGGCAGAGTCATGTGCAGAGTCTTGTGGTGTTGTAAACATGGAATCAACGACCACAAAATCTTGTGAGTCTTCTTTTTTCAGCACTTCAGTGACACTGATGTCTTCCAGCACTATTGCTGGTTCCAGAAGAAGAGGCTCAAATGACATTGCTTTGGGGTGCTTGATGAAGAGATGCTCAAAAGTTTCAGGCTAGAAGAGAATATAGATTTTAATGCTCAGTTTTAGTTCAGGATGAAGTTGATGATTTTAAGCACCACAGACAAACCCCCCATAGTTTTAGTACAAGTATATAGCTGAAAATCCTCTAAATCACATTTCCTCTCTTCTTTACGTTTGTGTTTAAGTGAAGAGCAAGGACAAGACAAAGAAGTGAGAAGCTGTTGGTGTGTCAAGTGCTGCAAAGCAAGTATTCTGCTTACCCTGTGCTAATCATACCCTTGGCTTCTTATTCAGGTTGTATAAACCACAGACACCATCATTTATATGTCAATTAAAGGAACTTTCCCTGCTAAGATTATGTATTTGGGGTCAAATGCAGCCTTTCCATAGGATTTTTAGAGCATTCCCATCAGAATAGGAGCTGTAGGTTTGAACTGCACAAAGAGAAACACACATTTATTTTGGAGAAACATATGTTTTACTACTACCTAGTATATATGCACATAAAACTTACAACAGCATGAAGTGGGTCTCCTAGCTACAAAGGAGAATTCACTTGAAAACCCTGTATTTCCTAATGAATTCAAGGCAAACCAAATAGATAGAAACAGTTCCTGTGTGTATCAGCAAACCATGTTTTACAGCCAGGAAGCTGCCAAAACAACTAAAAACATGTCAAAATACTTAGACTAGTCTGCAATTATAGAAAAGAGTCTATACCACCTCTCCTAGCTTTAGTCTACACTAGCTATTGGTAGCACCTATGCCCTCATGTGGCAAAGCTGGTGAGCTGGTTTCTAACTGCTCTGGTACCTGCCCTGCTCAAGTCCACCATCCTCCTGCACTGAAACCAATCTGTGCACTGGAATCAATCCTTCTCTTCAAAATGATGTCAGTAACTGCATGTAACAGTATCAGGCTAGTGAAACGAGCTGTAGGCTGCTCCCAGCTGTATACACCAAGCTGTAATAATCGTAACTGATACTGCCTGCTGAAAGTCATCTTCCCTCTCAGGTTTGTTCTGCATCGACACCGACACAGCCAAAGCCAGCCTGAGCTCTGTTCAGTGTGTACTGACTGTCCCCAGTAGCCTTTTCAAATGGGAGACATATTAACAGGAATCATAGAATCCTACAATGGTTTGGGTTGAAGGGACCTTAAAGCTCATCCAGCTCCAACCCCTGCCACAGGCAGGGACACCTTCCACTAGAGCAGGTTGCTCCAAGCCCCTGCATCCAACCTGCCCTACAGACAAAGTAGTTCCATGAACTCAGGAGAAAAGTGTGTCTCAGGTCACCAGCTCCCAAACTTTGCCAAGCAGATGAAACAAGATGCAACCAAACCAGGAATGTCAAATGAGGCTGTGTTTTGCTCTCCTGCTCAGGCTGGGGTTTAAGCTGTATTTGTCTCGGAAGCCCCAGGCTACTTCTGAGCTGGAAGCCTGAGCTGGGTTCAGGTCAGAATTACTTTGCACTCCAGCTGCTAAACACAGATATATCAAAATAATCCTACTGGCCTAATTCTGCCATGACCAGAGTTTGACTTTCCCATACATTTAACTTCACACACTGCAGATGAGCCCATGGACACTGCAGGGTAATTTAGATACATGTGAGTCTTTTCAAGACTGATATTAATTTCCCTGTAAAATAACATCTGTAGTTGTGTTTAAGTCATTTCTCCAACACTACAGGAGGTCCTACAGTGGTTTTATTTACTATTTTATTGAGCAGATAAGAGGAATTGTTATGATTTTTGACATTATGCATACATGTAAAGGCTTGCAAGACAGAGTCTAGATGCAAGACCTGTCTGGTTAAATTAGGATTCACAGACTCATAGAATGGTTTGGGTTGGAAGTGACCTTAAACACTGTCTTACTGCTGTGAGCAATACAATCAGGATAGAAGTCTATAAATGCAGTTCTGAAATCCCAAATATCAGATGGGATATACTGAATATACAAAGTAATGATCAGAAGTTGACTCAATGATCTAATGTGGCTGCATTCCAGGACAAGACAGGAGTGTCATATCAGACGCCTTCAGAATGACATCAGAACTTCCCAGCAGCGGTATAGAGGCTATTTATGTTATCAGTGCTTATCCCAACTAAGGAAAAATATCACATGTGGGCTGTACACTGCTTTTTGTACAGGAAATTCCATCCACACATACAAAAAGCAGCATTTGGCTCCAAAAACATGGTTTCGAAGAGGATGGTCCAGCCTTGGACACTCACGAGTAAGAGATGGTTGTGCCAACCTGAGGACAGGCCCTGTGCTCTGAGTGCAGTTAACATTTCCCAGTGAGGTTAGTACAAGGCATGGAAGAAGCATGCTTCCTACTGTGCAACCTATCAAAAAGCATGTCCAACTCCACCTTCTTTCATACTTGTGCCATTTCTTCCCCATTAATTGTGGAGCCAGGCATATGAATATGGAGCAGGACCACCAGGGTGTCAGCTTTACCCTCCCTTCCTAGTTAGAACGTCATCAACTTTAACACCCTTATTTCAGCTCTACCAGTCAGTGAGGAGAATCATTTCCAACGTGCTACAGCCAACATGCAAACTTCATGCCCCTGTGCAAGTGGGGACAGCGAGGATTGTCATGAGCTCCTTTTGCTATAGTTGAAAAGAGTAAATAGACAAAAGCCGTTGTGCTGGTGCCACTCATACCCCTGCAATTAAAAACTATTCACAGAGCCCTTCCACCTACCACCAAAATCAGATCTTTGAGGATTTATGGCCTTTTTTTCCCAGTACAAACAGAATGTTAGAGATTATTCAGACACCTGCACTGGGGTGGCTGCATCTCTAAATGACAGCAAATGAAGAGGCTGTATAAATAACATGCACACTGGTATTTCCAGGAAAAAGCAAGCAAATAAAAAGCTCAGTAAGGCACAAAACACACCCAGTTTCTGCATTCTCCGAGTTGCTGCTGCACCCAAATGCACACAAAAAGCTCAAAAGACTATAATGGGACAACCAAGTACTTGTGTGAATAGAGATGTGATCACTTTGATGTGCCGGAGTCAGTGGAAACTCCCAAGCTGGCTCTCAATTAGAACAAATACTCAATCAGAATGACAAACCACTTTCAAGTGGAGTCAGTAACTGGGCAGATCTTGCACTCAAGCTGGGTAAGTTCCAAACCAGTCTGATGTCTCTGGTTCCTGGGCTGCATCCTGGGCAGGGCTGGGCTCTCCCAACTCAGAGAGCCAGGGCTTGAAAGGATTCAGCCCTTTGCGGGTCACAGCCTTAGTCTGCAGAGCAGCAAAGAGAAGTTAAAACCACCAAATCCAAAGTGTTTCTGCCTGTGCAAGAGACAAACTGAGGCTTGGTCTTGCTCCTAATTTTTCCAAGGGCATTTTGACTAAGTCACTTCAAGGATTAGTTATATTTAAACAACTCAGTGTTGTATCTGCACTTCCTGTCTGCTGAATATAAATAATCTTCTAACAATTCTGCATAGGAAGCCTG